ATAGGCACAGAGAAGTGAAGTAACTTTCCCAAGGTCACACAGTGAGGAACAACCAGAGCAAGGTTGAGTCTGGCAATCCAGCTCTTAATCCCTATGTGATGGGGGTTGTGTGAGCCTAGAAAAGAGGGGTACCTCTGTCAGCCTGGGTGGCCAGCAAGGTCAGGTACTGCCTGAGGTCACGCCCGAAGGGTGCACTGGCGTTCTTAGGAGGAGTTAGGGAGGGATGGTTGGTAATGCGCAGAGGCTTGGAGGCTGAGGATAGAGTTAAGGGAGGGCTAAGGGAGAGGGAGGCGGAGCTTGCAGCAGGTCCCCCCTCCGAGTTTGGCCTTGGTCTTGTGAAGAGCAGGCAGGAGTGGATGGTGCCTGTGGCTCAAAGGAGTAGGGTGCTGGCCCCATATACTGGAGGTGGTGGGTTCAAACCTGGCCCTGGTCAAAAACTGCAAAAAAAAAAAAAAAAATGCAGGCAGGAGTGATAAGGGTTTGGACTATGTTGCTGGCCACTGCCCCCACCTCAGGCTCAGAGATCTACCAGAGACCCCATTTCATGAGTGAGTAAAGAGAGGCTGGTCCTGTGGTCACACAGCCAGGGTGGATTATGTGGAGGGGCCTGGCCACTGTGTGCTCCTGCCCACCAGTGTCCCTGGAGGGAGGCACTGAACAGTCGTAGGCGGGGAGGAGTGGCACTGTGTGTTCCCCGAGCAGAGATGCAGCCAGAGCTGCTGGCAGGGAACAGCAGGTGCCGTGGGCAGGGGCCGGCTGGCGCCTGTCCCCCCAGGGCCCATCAGCCAGCAGGGATGGGGTAGCTGGGAGCTCTGGAAGAGGTGACCTTAGGCTGGGAGAAAGCAAAACTTGCCACCTCCTGATACTGGGGGGTCTGCTGAGTGATCCTTGATATGCCCGGCCCTTTGGGTACAGGCACGGATGCTGAAGCCCAGGTTGGGGGTGTGACTTGCCCAAAGCCCCACAGAAATTCTGATGGAGGCCTTCCCATCAGCCCCTAGGTGGTTAGCCCTTAGCAGCAGGTTCAAAGTCTAGGCAGTTGTGAAAAGAGGGTGGCAGATGGGACTGCCTTGGCAAAGGCCTACAGGGGGACCTTAGACAAAGGGGCCCAGTTGGTTTAAGTCACACAGCCTCAGTTTCCTCAGCCTCCCTGGGCCGTGAGGGGTGTGGGGGCCCTTTGGGGTCAGTGTCTCTTCTTCCAGCTCCTCTTTAGCCCAGTGCTCTTGGGCCTGGTGCCAGTGCCCCCTGCCTACACCCTTCCTCAAGGGCAGACCTCAGCCTTGCTGTGTGCCTCTGGGCTGGGCAGCCCTCCTCTCTGAGCCTCAGCCTTAATTGTGAAAGAGGATAGCCCCCGGGCCTCCTGAGGTTGAGGTGTGCCTTCTGGCCTTGTGGCTGTCCTGCCCACCCTCTGGTAGAGGGCTCTGGGCTAGAAGTTGAGGTGCAAGGGGTCAATAAAACTCCCAATTCTGCCAATCTCACTAGCCCCATGGGCAGGAGGGTCGAGGGGGTGGGGGAGATGTATGGGGAAAGGGGTACCACTTTCTATGTGCCTGTATTTCCCCCATTTTGCTGCTGAGGAAACTGAGGCCGTGTGACTCAAACCAACCTGGCCCCTTTGTCTAAGGTCCCCTGTAGGCCTTTGCCAAGGCAGTCCCGTCTGCCACCCTTTCTTCACAACTGTTTAGACTTTAGATCTCAGCTGAGCTGCCCCCACCTCCAGGAACCCCACCATGTTTAGGTTTTTCCTCTTGCCTTTGCAGCCCTTAGGAGCTGGAGATCACTGTGCTCAGCAAGGATCACTGCGGGATGGGGACTCTGCGCCCCGACATCTCCAGCCCCAGGGGCCTGAGAGAACCTTCATGGGCCCCCTCAGTTTTTCAGGCCTTCCTGATTTGAGTTGCTGAACAGACCCTCTTGGAAACTCCCCTGAGTCTCCTCATACCTGGGCCAAGGGCCTTGGCAGCTCTGTCCCCTCCAGGCTGCCTGTCCTGTGCTCCCTGAAGATGCACTGGGGGAGAGGCTTTGGTGTCACTAGGATCTGGGTTGCACCCTGGCTGTTTATTCTCTGGCTGCAGCAGCCTCCTGGAGCCCCTGTGTCCTCATATGTAAAATGAGTTTGGTAACAGCCTGCACTAGAGCTGCTGAGAGTGTTGGAGGGGTGGTGTGAACCCCAGGCAGGAAGGCATAGTGGGGAGAAGCTGGGGGGGAAAACGTGAGTCTCCACACCCTGGTGAGCACATCACATCTACCCCTAGTCTGTACAGGAGTAGCTGACAACAGTGGGGTCTGGGAAGGGGCTGAGTTGGCCCTGGACTCTGCCAAGAAGAGCTTGACCCCAGACTCCCTTGGGCCTTTCCCCATAGCTCTGGGTGGCAGCTCCCACTGGGGAAACACACAAAGCCATGGGGACTTGTCACTCAGTTTCTAAGAAGTAGGATCTTAGCACATCATCTAACCTGTCCATGCTTTAGTTTCTTCGTTTGTATAGTCAGGTAACAAGGGCGCAGAGTAAGTGCTAAATAAATACTACAGTAGCTATTACTACTGTCATTACTCAGATTCTCATTCTGAGGTTGTCCTTTCTACATTCTTACTTTCGTAGAAAAATACCCAGGTGAGCAGGTAATTCTTTTGATAGTGTGGAGGACAAAAAGAGGAATGAGGTGAAGATCCCTGCCCATGGGCAGCTTCCACTCTGACGTGGGAGGCCACAGAGGAGGCAGAAAGAGGGCATTGGGCCCCAAGGGACACAGTTCCCATCTGCAAAATGGACAGGTTGGACTGGTGCCCTCTCATGCCCGTTCCAGCCTCAGCTTCCCCCTCTGTGGATGGGGCTGGTGCTGGTGTATGGTTGTGAGGAGTATGTGGCATCAGGTAGGGACCCAGCCTTGAGGGTCCCCAGGGGGTCACACACTCACTCCAGAATGGTCCTTCTGAGTCTCCTTGGCCCAAACTGACACTAGCCAGTCTCAGTTCAGAGGCTAAGGGGGTAGGGGAGAAAGGTCTTTAGAGTCTGGCGACTTGGGGCCTGTTCCCTGCCCTATTCCTGGCCTGCTGTGTGGCCTTGGGCCAACCACTCTCCCTCTCTGGGGCTCCATCTCCCCTTTTACAAAATGGGCTGGCTAAGACTGGGGTCTGCTTTGTCCTTGGTGTAAGGACTTCCTGTAAGAACCCAGCTGGAACCAGTGGGCTGAGGGAGAGGTGCCAACAGTGGCCTGGGGCCAGAAGAGCTGGGGGCCTCCGCTGGTCCTCTACTGTCTTGGACGATGGCCCAGGCATCTGACTTACGTTCTCTGAGCCTCCCTCTGTCCCCTCCTCTGGAGAGGGGGGTGATTGTCACTGTGTAGCAGAGTCCTAGTGAGAACTAGAGAGCTGACTATGACAATGAGAATGATAATACTAGCAGTGGTGTAAGGGCTCCTGCTTAACAAGCATGGCCTGAGTGCCCAGGGCTTTACACACATTAGCTCATTTGCCTTTGCAACTACTCCAGGATGACTATAGGCTTCTCTGTGTTTCCAAAGGAAGCTTTGGTCGACTTGTCCAGGGCCCCACTCAACCACAATGCCCCCACCTGCCGGTTGGAGCAGGTGTCTGAGGCAGCCTTTTTTTTTTTTTTTTTTTGAGACAGAGTTTCACTTTGTGGCCCTAGGTAGAGTGCAGTGGTGTCATAGCTCACAGCAACCTCAAATACCTGGGCTCACTTGCATCAGCCTCCCGAGTAGCTGGGACTGCAGGCACCCGCCACAAGGCCCAGCTATGTTTTAGAGATGGGGGTCTTGCTCTTGCTCAGGCTGGTCTTGAATTGTGGAGCTCAAGCAATCTACCTGTATCTGCCTCCCAGAGTGCTAGGCTGAGGCGCCTTCTGCTCTTCTCTCTCCAGAAGCAGGATGGCTGCCAATGGTCCCTACCCACTGCCTCCTCCCTCCATCCCCTTTGCATTCCCAGCAGATTCCACTATCCACTCTCCCTCCACCCTTGGGCCACTCTTATCAGGAGACATTCCTGCACTGGCTGAGAGCAGTTTCCACCTTGGGCCCTTCCAGGAGGGTGCGATTGCTGATAGAGGCCCTGTTGGTGCCTCCTTTAGGGGATGGGGCTTAGGGAAGAGACTGAGAGCTCAGACAATCCAGGTTTGCCTTCAGACACTGTCTTTATGAGCTATGAGACATTAGGCAAGGAGCCAGACCTCAGTTTCCTCCTCAGTTTCCTCATCTGCAAAATGGGGCTAACCACAGAGGACTGGGGCAGCTTTACCTGGGCTCACACGTCTATAGCGCACTTCTTAGCTTCTGCCACGCACAGGAGCTGTTGTTATTCTGAGGTCCAAGTGTCCCTCCTCTTTGTGGGGCCCCTAGTTTATTCAGCACCTATGTCTATCTTCTGGTGGGTGCATGTCAGGAGGGCTCCTGTTTTTCTTCTTTGGCTCTATGGAACAAAGAGAGAGCTTGAGTTAAGTTATTTTCAGAAGTTGAGAACCAGCAGTGTGATCGTGGGCAGTCCCTCTCCTTTGAGCCTCCGTTTCCTGGGTCTGTTCTATGAGCACTGGGACCTGGGTAAAGCTTTGTCCCAGCTCCTTGTTGTCACTGTCCCTGTACCTTCTGTAAGTCCTCTCTAGGCTGGCCCTGCTATTTGGCTTTTGACTGTCTTTCTTTGCAGTGTAGGGCATAAGAGGTGCTCAGCTAAGCTGATTTGTGGAAATGCCTCTTGTCCTTGAAGCCTTTCTCAAATGCTGCCTCTCCAGGAAGCATTTCCCAGTTTCTCCCAGCCAGAGGGGATCTCTGGTTCTCTGAACGCCTGGTCTGAGGCGGTTTGGTGGTACCTGCTACAATCCACCTCAGTGCCCCAGTAACAGATAAATAACCAACAAGGACTTGTGCTTGCCCTGTCTCATTTAATCCTCAACAACAACCTTGCAAGGTAGTTATTACTATTCTTCTTCTTTTTACAGAACAGAACACAAAGGCCAGAAAAGTGAAGTAACTTGCCCAGCTATGAGAGCCAGAGCCAGAATTTGAAACCAGGTAAGCCTGTGTTTTTCTTCAAAAGGAAAGGAAAAAATGTTAACACATACACACAGAGTAAAAACAATTCAAACAGTGTAAAAGGAGACCGAGAAAAGCAAGTCTCTCCCACCCAGGTCTCTTTTCCAGGGGTAATCACTTCCAAGAATTTCTGGTGTTATCCTTCCGGGGAGATCCAGGCATGGATAAGCATGTTTTTCTAAACAAATTTTCAAAGTATGCTCCATATTGATATTTTTAACTTCTGTGTTTGACTGAAAATTAAACGTTTGCAAAGCAAAAGATATTTTTAAAAACATGACAGCCACAGCATCTACCCTGCTCTTGAGCTGACTCTCAGAGATCCGTTTGTACCATGGCTTTCTTTTTCATGGTTATGTAGTATTCCACTGCAAGGATGGAGGTGAGGCTTCATTTAATTAATAAAAGACATTTAATGTATCACAACTGTATTGTGATTATTTCCAGTCTTTTGCTAGTTAGTCGGTTCTGCAGGGCATGTCTTTAATCCTATGCTTAGTCTTCGTGTGTGAGGATTCCTCTAGTGTTAATCCCATATTCAGGGTGAGCGGGTGTGTGCAGTTGTAATTTTGTCTTTTAGAGACGTTGTGCTGTTGTAAACCACAGCTTCTGATTTTCCTCCCTCTCACCAACACAGAATGTTTGTGAATTTTGTGACAAATCTGATAGGTGCCAATTTGCCATTCTTTTTTTTTTTTTTTTTTTAATGGAATGGTAACTATGTACATTAATGCACTTCTGGGGTACAGTGTGGGGTTTTCACACACAATCCGAAACACTTCCATCAAACTGGTTAACATAGCCTTTGTGTCATTTTCTTAGTTATTATTTTAAAACGTTCACATTCTGCTCTTAGAAAGATTCACTTGTACCCTTGTAAGATAAACCTCAGAAGTGATCCCTCCAATCCCCCTCCCTCCACCCCAATCCCCCTCCTTCTCCCTCCCCCCTCTCCATATTCTTAGGCTGTTATTAGGTTATAGCTTACATATAAAAGGTATAAATTAGTTTTATAATAGGGGTGTGTACATTGGATACTTTTTCTTCCATTCTTGTGATACTTTGCTCAGAAGGACATTCTCTAGCTCCATCCATGGGCAATTTGCCATTCTGATAGGAGAACAGTGGCCTCGGATACAATTTGATTTTTTTTTTTTTTTGCAGTTTTTGGCTGGGGTTGGGTTTGAACCCACCACCTCTGGCATATGGGGCTGGAGCCTTACTCCTCTGAGCCACAGGTGCTGCCCCCATAATTTGATTTTTTTTTAATATATCACAACTTTATTGCAATGACATTTACATTCTATAAAATTCACTCATTTAAAGTTTACAATTCAGGCTCAGCATTTGTAGCTCAGCCTCTAGGGTGCCAGCCACATACACCGGAGCTGACGGGTTCAAATCCAGCCCAGGCCTGCCAAACAACGACGACAACTACAACCAAAAAAATAAAAAATAGCTGGGCGTTGTGGCAGGTGCCTGTAGTCCCAGCTACTTGGGAGGCTGAGGCAAGAGAAGCACTTAAGCCCAGGAGTTTGAGGTTGCTGTGAGCTGTGACTCCACGGCACTCTACCAAGAGCGACAGCTTGAGACTTTCTCCAAAAAAAAAAAAAGTTTACAATTAGTGGGTTTTGGTATATTCACAGATTGTGTAACCATCACCACAGTTTATTTTAGAACATTTTCATTACTCCAAAAAGAAACTGGGTACAAATGACAGTCATTCCCTACTTCCCCCTAAACTTTCCTTCCCCAGGCCTAGGCAACAATGAACAAGTTTCTGTTTCTGTACATTTGCATACTCCACACACTTCACATAAATGGAATCACACACTATGTGGTTGTTTTATGACTGGCTTTTCTCACTTAGCATAATGTTTTCAAGATTCACATGTAACAATACATCATTCCTTTTTCTTGCCAAATAATATTCTATTATATAAACATACCATATTTTAATTTATCCATTCTTTAGCTGATGGACATTTGTTGTTTCTGCTTTTTGGCTATTATGAGTAATGCTGCTATGGCCATTTGCGAGTTTTTATGTGGACATGTGCTTTCATTTCTCTTGAGTAAATACCTAGGAGCGGAATTGCTGGATCATATGGTAACTCTCTGTTTAACCTTTTGCAAAACTAGCCAAACTGTTTTCCAAAGCAGCTGCATCATTTTACATTTCTACGAGCAATGTGTGGAGGTTCCAGTTTCTCCACATCCTTGCCAACACTTGTCTTTTTGATTCTGGCCTTGGTAGGGAGTGTAAAGTGGTGTCTCACTGTGGTTTTCATTTGCATTCCCCTAATGACTAATGATGTTGAGCATCTTTTCATGTGCTTATTAGCCATTTGTGTATTTTCTTTGGAAATGGGTTTATTCAGGTCTGTTGCCCATTTTAAAATTGGGTTGTTTGTCCTTTTTGTTGTTGAGTTGGAGGAGATTCTTGTATCATCTAAATATCAAATATATTGCACATCAGATATATGATTTGCGAACATTTTCTCCCATTCTGTGGGTTTTCTTTTTACTTCCATGTTGGTGTCCTTTGCAGTTATAATTCTGATGAAGTCTGGTTTGTCCTTTTGGTTTTTGGTCCTTTTTGGTTTTTCCTTTTGTTGCTTGTGCTCTAGGAGGAGTCAGATCTAAGAAATCTTTGTTATCCAAGGTTATGAAATTGATTCATTTCTTTCTCTCTATATATGTGTAATTATATATAATATATATTAATATGTGTGTGTGTATTTTTTCTTTTCTTTTTTATTTTTTTGAGATAAGTCTTGCTTTATTGTCTAGGTTGGAGTGCAGTGGTGTGATCACAGCTCACTGTAACCTCAAACTTCTGGGCGCAAGTGATCCTCCTGTCTCAGCCTCTTAAGTAGCTGAGTGTGCAATACCTGGGTGTGCAATACCACCCCCAGTTAATTGTTTTATCTCTTGTAGAGATGGGGGTCTCTCTATGTTGCCCAGGCTGGTCTTGAACTTCTGGGCTGAAGTGATCCTCCTGCCTTGGCCTCACAAAGTGCTGGGATTATGGGTATGAGCCACTGTGCTTGGCTGTTGTTTTCTTAATTTTATTTTGGATTATTTATTTTATTTTTCTTTCTTTCTTTTTTTTTTCTGGAGACAGAGCCTCACTATGTTGCCCTTCGTAGAGTGCCATGGTGTCAACAGCTCATAGCAACCTCAAACTCCTGGGCTTAAGTGATTCTCTTTTTTTTTTTTTTTTTTGAGACAGAGCCTCAAGCTATCCCCCTGGGCAGAGTGCCATGGCACCATAGCTCACAGCAACTTCCAACTCCTGGGCTCAAGCGAGTCTCCTGTCTCAGCCTCCCAAGTAGCTGGGACCACAGGCGCCCGCCACAACGCCTGGCTATTTTTTTTTGGTTGCAGCCGTGATTGTTGTTTGGCAGCCCGGGCTGGATTCAAACCCGCCACCTTAGGTGTATGTGGCCGGCACCTTAGCCACTTGAGCCACAGGGGCCGAGCCAAGCAATTCTCTTAGCTCAGCCTCCCAAGCAGCTGGGACCACAGGCGCCCACCACAATGCTGGCCATTTTTTGTTGCAGTTGTCATTGTTGTTTAGCTGGCCCAGGCCAGGTTTCCAACCCACCAGCCTCGGTGTATGTGGTTGGCGCCTTAACCACTGTGCTACGGGCACTGAGCCCTGGCTGTTGTTTTCTTAATTTTATTTTTGGATTGCTCATTCCTAGTGTATAGCAATACAATTTATTTTTATATATTGATCTTGTACTTTGCAAGCTTTTTGAACTCCTTTATTAGAGTTAGCATTTTTGGGGTAGAATTCTTAGGATTTTTTATACATAAGATCGTGTTATCTGCAAATAGAGATAGTTTTGCTTCTTCCTTTCTAATCAGGATACTTTACATATCATTTTTTTCCCTAATTGATCTGGCTAGATCCCCCAGCACAAACTTGAGTAGAAATGGTGGGAATGGACCTCTTTGTGGCATTCCTGATTTTAGGGAGAAGCATCTCTTCTTTTACCATTAAGCATAAAGTAGCTGTGGGCTTTTCATAGCTACCCTTTCTCAGGTTGAGGAAATTTCCTTCTATTGAGTGATTTTAACAGGAAGGGGCATTGGATTTTGTCAAATGCTTTTTCTGAAGGTATTGAGATTGTTCTGTGGCTTTTGTCCTTTATTCTATCAGTATGGTATATTACATTAATTGATTTTCAGGAGCTAAGCCAACATGGTATTCCTGAGACAAATCTCACCTGGTCATGGCGTATAATTCCTTGCATATGTTGTTGGATCCGGTTTTCAAGGTATTTTGTAGGAGAGTTTTTATATCCATATTTATAAGAGACATTGTAGTTTTCTTATGTCTTTATGTGGTTATGACATCAGGGTAATACTGGCTTTATAGATTGAGTTGGGAAGTGTTCTCTAGTGAAGAATTGGTATTAATTCTTTAAATGTCTTGCAAAATTCACCAGTGAAGCTATCTGGGCCTGGGCTCTTTTTTGTATGTGTGAAAAGTTTTAAAATTACCAGTTCAATCTCTTTACTTGTTTTAGATTTATTCAGATATTCAGATTTTCTATTTCTTCGCAGTTTTGGTAGTTTGTGTTCTTCCAAGATCTGCTCATTTTGTGTAAGTTAATTGAATTTTTTGGCATGGAGTTGTTCATAATAGTCTCTTATAATCTTCATTTCTTTAAAGTTAGTAGTAATGTCTTCCTGATCTTAGTAATTTGTCTTCTCGCGTCTTCCCTTGTTCAGTTAGGTAAAGGTTTGTTAATTTTGGTTATCTTTTTAAATAATCAACTTTTGGCTTTGTTTTTTCTCCATTAAAAAAAATCTTCTATTTTATCAGTTTCTGCTCTAATCTTTTCTTTTCTTTTTTTTTTTTTTAATTTTTTAAAGACATTTTATTTTTTTTTTGCAGTTTTTGGCCGGGGCTGGGTTTGAGCCCATCACCTCTGGCATATGGGGCTGGCACCCTGCTCGTCTTA